CTGAGTTCGAGGCCAGCCTGGTCTACAGAGTGAGTTCCAGGACAGCCAGGGCTACACAGAGAAACCCTGTCTCAAAAAACCAAAAAAAAAAAGAAGAAGTTCAAACCATAATGTAAAAATTTTACCTTTGTGACAGTTCCTTAAATAGGATTAAATAGGACAATTCCTTAAATAGTCAATAGGATAAAAAGTAATAGCGGGCAGCTGAATGTGTGGCACAAACCTCTAAGATTCAAGTGGATCTCTGGGTTAAGAAGCCACATTGGTTTACATAGCAAGTTCAAGGCCAGCCAGAGCTACACAGCAAGATCTAGTGTCGGTGTCTCGGTGTCTCTCTCTGTCTCTCTCTGTCTCTCTCTCTGTCTCTGTCTTTGTTTCTCTTTCTCTCTTTCTCTCTTTCTTTCTTTCTCTCTCTCTCTCTCTCTCTCTCTTCTCTCTCTCTCTCTTCTCTCTCTCTCTCTCCCTCCCTCTCTCTCTCCCTCTCTCCCTCCCTCCCTCCCTCCCTCCCTCCCCCATCTCTCTTTTTTAAGTAATATTATAGGGATAAGGAGATGGCTCAGTGGGCAAAAACACTTTGTATGAAATCAAGAGGACCTGAGTTCAAATCCCTAGCACCCACATAAAAACTAGTCATGATTCACATGCTCATGAACCTAGTGTTGAGCTTTTTGGCTAACCAGCCTAACTGAAATGGAAAGCTTCAGGTTCACTAAGTAACTTGTTGTAAACATATAAGGTACAGAGCAATAGAGGATGACACTAATGTCTCCCCTGGGCTCCATGTACACATATATGGGTGCATACACAAACACATAAGTACACTTATACCATACAACACACATATATGAGTAAATAAACAAACAAATAAATAAATGTAACAAAAATAGTTTTCAAAAACTTAAATGATATTGGGGCTATAGAGATGACTAAGCAATTAAGAACTGGCTGCAGAGGACCTACCCAAGTTCTATTCTCACACCCAAAAGACAGCTCACAATTGTTTATGATACCAGTCCCAGGGATCAAACACCCTCATCTGGTCTCCACAAGTTTTGTATCTATATGGTGCACACATATACAGGCAGGCAAAGCATCCATACACATAAAAATGAATTAACAAAAAAAATTTTTTTTAAATAAAATAACCCTAATGTTTAAGAAAGTTTTCCTTGCTATAAAAAAAAAATGGCACAATACATCAAATAAATGGGCAGGCAGTGCTCAGCTTTCACCCCAGCACTCAGAAGCCAAGACAGTCTGAGTCTGAGGCCAGTCTGTAACCCCAGCACTCAGAAGCCAAGACAGTCTGAGTCTGAGGCCAGTCTGGTCTACACAAAATTTCAGGACAGCCAGGGCTACACAGAAAAACCATGTCTTGACAAAACAAAAAAAGAAGGGCTAAAGATATAGCTCTGTAGTTAAGAGTACTGCACTGGCTGTTCTTCCAGAGGACCCAGATTTAATTCCCAGCACCCACACGGCAGCTCAAACCTGTCTGTAACTCCAGTTCCAGGACTTCTGACACCCTCATGCAGACATACATGCAAGCAAAACACCAATGAACAAAAATTAAAAATAAAATATATATAATACATACATATTATATATAATATATATATTATATATATAGACAAACCAAAAAGGAAAAAGAATCAAGAGCCAGTTATGGGGGCATATACCTTTAATCTCAGAATTTGGGAGGTAGAAGCAGTTAGATCTCTGTTGAGTACAAGGCCAGCCTGGTCTACATAGAGTTCTAGACCAACAGGAATACACAGTGAGATGCTATCTTTAAAAGGGGGAGGGGAGGTTTGTATCTGGAAAGATGGTGCAGTACTTAAAAGCATTTCCCACTCTTCCAGAGGACCCAGATTTAATTCCCAGCACCCACCAGACAGCTTACATTTTCTATAATTCAGGAGATCCCTGGTCTCCAAGAGTACATATACTCACATCCAGACACACATGCCTATACATAGTTTAATAAAAATAATCTTTTGAAGAAAAAAATAATAAAACTGCTCTGGAAAACTAGGCTACAGCATACCTAGAGTTTCTGCTAACTGAAAGCAACACCACATTTGTAGCTGGAGAGATGTCTCAGTTGGCCAATCACTTGCTGCATAAGCAAGAGGAACCAAGTTCAGATCCCTGGTACCTAGTAAATGTTGGGTGTGCATGGCAGCCCTGCCTGTGATCTGTGTTGGGTAGGCAGAGATGGAGGATTGCCAAAGCAAGCTGACACTCACATGTGCACCCACACACATCAGACCATAGGCATGGGAGAGAGAGAGTAAGAGAGAGAGAAGAGACTATTCTCAAGATACAGTCTAAGAATTTTGAAACAAATTAATACTTTTATCATTATTAATCTCAAATTCTACAAATTAGGTAGCTGACATTTGAAAAGATAAAAAGCTTTGCCTAAAATCATACAGATAAATGTAAAATATGATCTTGGGAGCCATCAAGACTGACATTTGAAAGTCTGCAAACTCAGCACTACCAACACAAAGAAGGAGGTGGGCTTACCTGCAGGGCGCTGTTGAGGAAGCAGCTGTTCTGCCCTGGCTCATTGCTGAGGCCTTTGCTGGGGGCAATAGACATTGAGCTCCGAGGTGCAAACATTCCTTGAACGCTACCTCGACTTCCAGAAAAGTAATTTCTTTTCCAAGACATTATTGTTCACATTAGCTCAAAGTGAGGGGAAAGGGGGGCTTTATATCTTTTTCCCAAGGAACCTGTGTTTTTTTAAGTCAAAAAAAGAAAGAAAGAAAGAAAGAAAGAAAGAAAGAAAGAAAGAAAGAAAGAAAGAAAGAAAGAATCCAGAAAATTGTTCAGGTTGAAAGGCTGAGTTTATAGCTTCCCAAACATCACATCTGTAAACTCAGGGAATTCAGGTTTCTCCTTAGATCCAGGTGCCAAAGCTGTCCTTCACCTGCCCCACTGTTCAAAATGTAACTTGGCACATGACCAGTACAGAGAAGTCCTTAAGTACTGCTTCCTTCTATACTGCTGAAACTGCCTCCCTAAAGTCCTGGTGAAACAGATGGAATCTTCAAGTCAACAGTATCCAGGACCAAGTCAAGCTTGTTCTTCAACCTGCTTTACAATGCTTCTTGTGGACTGAAGACTGGAGGGAGAGGCGGGAACCCAACACACTCCTCCTCGCCCTCTCAGTGCCTCCTCTCATCATCTTCTAGTGAAACTCAAGCTCTGAACAACTGAAAAGACACCACGAAGGCACGAAGACTGTCTGGGTTCTTGGTAGGACTGCTGTTGATGTTCCTTGCTGTACTTTTTAGTTGTATTCCAAATTTCTTCTATCCTCTCTACCAGATCTTCAGAAAGTCTCTTCTTTCTTCTGAGACCAGAATAGCCAGCTGTGCCTGAGAGCTTTAACAGAAAGAAAAAAAAAATCAAAAGCTTACGTCATTTAATGACTCCACTGGCTTTGCACTGTTCTGCCAAGATCAACGCTGCCTCACCTCTCAGTATAAACTTGAAACCTTGACAAACAATGCCGAGAGAGAGAGAGAGAGAGAGAGAGAGAGAGAGA